ACCGGATGCACTGGCACCGACTTCGGCAGGATTAATTCGTAATCCAAGTCTCCGAGCTTTCGCCGCACGGCATAAGGTCTGAGGCGCTTGGGACTGAGCTTCTTGCTCGGCTGTTTCAGCTTAAGGTTCCGGGCATCAAGCCAGACCTTGTCCCCCGGCGCGAAGACCGGTGCCTCCTGCACGTGCTTGTCGTAGTACACCTTCATGCGCTCGGCCAACAGCTCGAGCGCAGAGCGCGTGTCGTCGCGAATCTCCTTCAGGATCTTAAGCCGATCTGCGGCAGCGGGCATAGTGGACATCGGATTGATCCGCACTTGGATCTCAGGATTGTACCCCTGATGCAGGAAGAAAGGGGAGTGCCCGGTCGCGGAGTGAACTCGGTTGTTCAGTGCAAACTCCGCGAGCGGCAACTGCTTTGCCCAATCATCCTGCCTGTGGCTTGTGAAAGCACGCAGGTACTGCTCGATCTCCTGATTCCAGCGCTCAGTCTGGCCGTCTGTCTGGGGGTGGAACGCTGTGGACAGCACCGGCTCAATTCCCAGTCCCTTGTACACCGCATGGAGATACTTCGAAGCAAACTGGGGACCTCGGTCTGATATGACCTTGGCCGGGGCCCCATGATGCTTGAACACATCGCATATGTACAGGTCTGCCGCACCTTCTGCCGTCAGGGTCTCATGACAGGCTGAGAAGTGGACCTGCTTGGTAAAGCGGTCGGCGGTAACCAGGATCGAGTCGAATCCATCAGACTTCGGCAGGCCGACGATCATATCGGTCATGATGATCTGCCACGGGCGCTCAGGGATCTCGTTCGGCTTCAGCGGACCCTGGGGCTTGGCTGGGAATGTCTTGGTACGGTTGCACACGTCACAGGTGCTTACGTACTCATTGACGAATTTGGACATCCCAGGCCACCAGTAATTCCGCGACACGAGCTCCAGGGTTTTGGTACGACCGCCATGACCGGCGATCGGCGAGTCGTGGTGGATTTTGACTATATCCCGCTGGAGCTCCGCGTCCTTTGGGACGTACACACATCCGCGGAACAGCAGGAGCCCTTGTTCGGCATTCCATTCCTCAAAACCCTTTTGCAGCCGGGGCGGCCTGAGGTCCTGCACCTTTTCAAGTGCCTCGGCCACCTCCCGATCCTTCTCCGAACATTCCCGAATGTGCTTCAGAAGCGACTGATCGGCCGTCACCGAGGCATGACCGCGTCTGGCGGAGGCGATGCGGAAGCGCTCCGGCTTGAGAACCACCTGATTGGTGTTATCGTCCTCATCACCGATCTGATGGTCTGATCGTCACGACAGGGCATCAGCCTTTCCATTTGACGTTCCGGCCTTGTGCGTGATGCGGAAGTCAAAGCGAGCCAGGAATAGCGACCATCGCGCTTGACGACGCGTGAGGTGCTGGGAGGTACGCCAGTACTCGAGGTTCTTATGATCGGTTACGATCTCGAACTGATTGGGTAACCCCTCGAGATAGTGGCGCCAATCGTCTAGTGCCTCAATGATCACGAGCATCTCCTTATCGTAGATCTTGTAGTTACGCTGGGCAGGGTCCATAGCGTGAGATCTGAAGGCGATAGGGTGCCATTTGCCGTCGTCCTGCTTCTGCATCAACACGCCGCCAGTGGCGTACCCCGAGGCATCAACCTCAATGCGCGTCTCCCAATTAGGGTCGTACAGCGCCAAGACTGGAGTCGTCGCGAAGAGCTGCTTGAGCTCATCAAAAGCGTGCTGCTCTTCTTCGCCCCAATGCCATGGGTCGTTCCCTGTGAGTCGGTCGAGTGGTCGCGAGATCTTAGCGAAGTCCTTAATAAAGCGGCGGTAGAAGTTGGAGAACCCCCGGAACTTCTGAACATCTTTTTTGTTCTGGGGTACCGGCCACTCATTAATTCCTTTAAGCTTCGTGGGATCCATCGCCACCTCATCGCCACCGAACACATAGCCGATGTAGTCGACTTTGGGAACATCCCACTCACACTTCTCAGGCTTCAGGAACAGATCATTGTCCTGAAGGCGATGCAGAACCTCACGTGTGACCTTTTCATGCTCCTCTTTGTTGGTGGAGAAGATGAGTATGTCATCTAGGTACAAAAGGATCTTGCTGCCGACGATGAGATCGTGGAAGATCTTGTTCATCATGGCCTGGAAGGTCGCGGGGGAATTAGTGAGGCCAAAGAACATCACCAGGGGCTCGTACAGTCCCCGGTTAGTTACAAAGGCCGCCTTCCACTCGTCACCGGCTTTGATCCGGACGTTGTTGTATCCCCATCGGACATCGAACTTCGTAAAGAGCGTAGCGTCACGGAGCTTGTCCACCATTTCGGCGATCAACGGCAAGGGATAACGATTTTTGACCGTGATTGCGTTCAATCGGCGGTAGTCCTGCACGGGTCGAAGCGTCCCTTCCTTCTTTTTGATGAAGAAGAAGGGGGACGAGATGGGCGACTTCGATTCCCGTATGTAACCCTTCACTAGTTGCTCCTTGAGGAACTTGTCAAGCTCCTCCTGCTTGTTGTTCGACAGGGGGTACACCTTCAAATGGAATGTCAAATAGCCGGGCACGAGTTCGATTGCGTGATCATACGGCTTCCTTTCGGGTAACCGTTTTGATGCTTCCTTGGAGAAGACATTCCCAGGAACTCGTGGTACTGTTTAGGTACCAACTCTTCGGCGGTCTTAATGACCTTCTTTTTGATCTCCTCCTCAGCGAACAGCTGGGAGTACGTATGCCCTGCTGCAACGAACAGCTGAGGAGCACTGGGAAGTGTGATGCCTTGCTCCCAGGCTTCGATCAAATCGACCTCATCCCACTCTACCTCCACCGGATCTTCCTCGGGTTCGAAGTCCAGGAGTACCTTACTCCGGCAAGCACCTATAACCGACCGTTTGGATTTCGGCGAACGCCTACGCACCGTGGGCCTGTTCCCCGTATCACGCGCAGTCGTTGCTTGCTCCATTCAGCCAGTCCTCCTGGCACTGCACGTTTCAGGGCATCGCGACAATTTGAGAGAGCCCTTCTCCCAATCTATTTCGGGGTTGTGCTCGCGTAGCCAATCCAACCCGACGATCACATTTTCCGGACCGATGTCCGTGACAGTGAACACCGTCTTCTCGACGTGCTCTCCTATATGCATCTGTAGCACTGCTACCTCCAAGATGCTTCCGTCCTTGTTCAGGGTGCCGTCAATGTTGTACAGCGGAATTGGTTCCTTTAACTTCCGTGTTTGCACCTTATTCTCTTCAATGAATTGTTTGTTGATAAACTTCGTGGTGGCTCCGCTGTCCACCATAGCAATTATGTCTTTATGCCGTCTTTTTCCTTGAAGTCGTACTGGGATGTGAAAATGTTGGGACCCCTGGTCCAATTCGTACACCATTGCAGTAGACAATATGTTATACTTGTTACAAGATGATACTTGCGGCCCGACGCGTGCGGCACGAAGTGCGGACCGGATCAAAAACCCTCCTCCTTCATCGCCCGATAGTGCTCGAGCTCCTCGCACATCGACTTCACCTGTGCCATTAAGTCCGCCAGCTCCGATTGCTCGGATTTCGCTGAAGCGGCACTTATACTTGCCGAGGGTGATGTCGTGACGGGGGCGCTTGTCGCCGCCTGGGTGGATCCCGAGGCAACCGTAGCCCGCGCGTCGGCGCGTTTTGTGTAAGGCTTGTCCTTACAATTGGGGCACTCGAAGCGTCGATACCCTTGCTTCCCACAGCCGAAGCATGTGCCGGGGAAGTTTCCTTTTCCGACAGCCGCATTGATGCTGGCCGAAGCTGCGTGTGACAAGGGTGCACCACCACGTGCCCCTCCGCGTCCTCGACCCCGTGCCGAGAAGAAGCTGTTTAGCTCGGGCCGACGAGCCCGGCTAACGTCGAGGATTTGCTCGACCTCGGTGGCGCGCTTGTCAGCAGCTTGCCACGTGGCGAAGGTTTCGAGCTCGAGTTTGCGATAGACGCGGGAAGGGATGCCGCTCAGGTACTTGTCACGTAGTTCCAGGTTCCCATACCCGGAACGGTCCGCCGGACCCTTGAACAGCGCAGAGAATTCTGCGGCGGTGCGCTTCTCGTGCATGGTTTTGTCGGAGCAGAGCTTGGTAAGCTCCACCTGTGCCGCGGCGGCGTCGTCGAGATTGCCAAAACGGGCCTTGAATGCCTGAAGGAAGGCTTTTTCGTCGACGAAGGGGGTTGTCGCTCCCTGGATCCCGATTTGGACGGAGGCAAGCTGGGAGAAGATGGGGGTGGCCCAAGCTCGCGCGTCACCATCGAGAAGACTGAGGGCAACCTGGATCTTCAGCTCGAGGGAAAAGAGGGCCGTGTTGATCGTCCAGTAGATGAGCAACTGCGAGATGAAGCGGTTGCATTCGACCACCGACTTCCCATCGTATCGGAGCGGGAGGAGGAGCTTCAACGTCTCCTTATCAGGTACGGCAGCGGGAGAGGACATTATCGGCGACAAGGGGGACGAAGGACTGCCCGCGGACGAAGGCGACTGTTGTGACTGTCCGCCGGGCGGACTTCTCGAGGAACGAGTGCTTGAGCGGCCTCGCGGCGGCGATGGCGGTGAAGTCGGTTGAGGAAGCCCGGAGGCGGGGTGACGTAGGACAGGGACTGAAGTCGAGGCGGTGACCGCTGACGACGAGCTGGCCCAAGAATGCGGCGGAGTGTCGCGGGGCTCGGTCTTGGGAGGCCTTTCCAACCGCGGCCGCAGGGAGGACTGGGGGATCACTTGAGGGGTCGCTGTAGGCTGTGCGACTGCCTCAGTTCCTCGAGGGAGATGGGGATCTCCTCGCGCTTGACCTGTACTGGCGACAGGTTGGGGGATGCGGGTGCCTGGCGAGGCAGGTCGGGATGGGACAGGAGTGACGTGGCAAGATGTAGATCTCGAGGTGCCAGCGTACCGGAGTGCAGGGCCGCTGGGGTGTTGGACTCGTCGGATTGGCACGAAGTGTCCTTCGTCAACAGTGATGGACCGTGGAGTGCGATTAGGGCACGGTTGCCGATCACAGATGAAGAAAGGAGCTCTGTCTCCGTTGCTGTTCGTGTCACGACTTGGTACGGCGCCTAGCCGTTTTTTAATTTTTTCCTTTTCGCGGGCTCGAACCCGCGACCTCTGTACTACCTGCCTGATATGGACACGTCGTTATCTACTGTACGATTAGATTAGATAGGACGGCAGTGCACGGCACAGCTCGGGCCCCGCTGACGCAGCCGCTCTGACTCACCGGCCCCCGGGGCCGCATCGGCATGCTGCGCACAGACCAGCTGCGCACGGACCAACGCGCACAGCCTGCCCTTATCTACCCCTGTATATAAGCCGGCCTCTGCTGCCCTAGGGACCTCAGTTTCGACCTCTTGTCCCTAGGTCAGTAAGCTCTCCTGTACTTACTTCTTTTACTTACTAACTAATACATTCTTGTCCCTAGCCTTAGGTTTGAGCGTTGCTCACCATCGCTTCGGTAAGAACCAGTCGAACGCCCCCAGCTTTCAGGTTTTCCTCTGTCGCTCGACCTCAAGTCGTGACATTAGGTCGAAACTCCCCACAGCTGCCGGCGTTCCATCGGGACCCACACACTCACACTCACTTCCTATAGGTTGGGTGGTG